CAGGATCTTCTTCCAGAACATCAGCTCAGCTTGAAAATGGACGAATGGGGGCCGTTTAAAGAAAGCGTCACACTATAACTGTTATCGGTACGATGCTTCACATGAGATTACGGCCTCACCTTCAAATCGTTCTTTCATTTGTGGCATATCGAAAACGACCGACACGGAGCGGGTGGTATTCACGTGTAGTAGCCTAACACATATTTAGAGAGATATTTCGGCACTCTGTCGTTGTTGAGTCTGAAATAGAATGTTTCCCACCCGGTGCAGGCCTGGACAAAATTGGAGCGTAATGCGTCTGGGTATAGTGTTGAAAAGTAATGGGGACCACAGGATGCAGCTGTCGTCATTCATGGTGCGTACTTGGAGGAGCAAGCGGAGGAGTCTTGGAGTCGATAACTTGACGCTGCGGCAAGGAGCGATGTTGCTGCGAGCGAGGACTGGATAAAAAGCTCGAGAGGAGGATAAGTGCGCAAAAGAATAACAACTACCAGAAACCCAGGAGCGTGCGGCAAATGCGTCGTGGCGAAGAACAAGAGGCGGAGAGCGGCGCGGAAGCACGTTATTCAGTGATGCCGTCAACACCGCCACATCGCCTAGCAGCTAGCCGGAATGCCGAGCCAAACACGCCATCAGCCCCGGAACCAAGCACACCTCCCTCTCTTTTCTCCATGCCGCACAAACGCGCCAAACGATCCATCCGCGAGCAGCAGCGATCCCAAAAGTGCGTCATATGCCCTGTCGCTGTGCGCTCCCTGTTAATCCGCTCTCTCTTACCCCCTTCCTTCTGACTGCCCTCCTTGCTGCCGTGACTCTGATTCACTCTCCCATTCACCATCTTGACTCTCTGGCTCGCCTTCAGAGGCGCAGATCTCGCTCCAGGCCGCGGCGGGGATGCCCTGTCGTCGGAGCCGCTGCCGAAGTCCTTCGTGCGCGCAATGAACGCGGGGCAGGTGCGCGCGGACTTTCGCGCAAAGCGCAAGCTGCGGGGGGAGGGCTACGAGGATGGCGATGATGACAAGCCGAAGACGAAGAAGCGGAAACTAGAGGGCGCGGAGGCGAAGATCCGTCCCGGCGAGACGCTTGCGCATTTTAATAAGTGCGTGTGCCACCTACATTTTTTTCTTTTCCTACGTTCTCCATATTTCCCTCCGTCTGGTGCACGATGGATTGAATCGTGGCATTGGAAGGCTAAATGCATTGTACTGACTTCGTTTGTAGGCGAATAGAAACGGACATGCGCCCGCTGGTGCGCTCCGCGGTGCAATCCTCGCTCGCCACCGGCCGCGCAGAGCGCAAGAAAACTTCTGAGCCCGCCAAAGGTGCCCCCAAATCTACAGCCGCCGGAGCCGAACCCCCGAACCCCAAATCCAACGGCAAATCAAAATCCACACAAAAGACCCCCGCCGCGGAGCCAGAACCCGAAGACAAACACGCATCGCGGCCGAAGGAGTTCGCGCGCACGTCGTCGGCGGCGCCGCGCCGGCTCAACGACATCGCGATGGCGCCGCCCGACCTGTCGGCGATGGCACGCCGTGCATCTGGGGCCGCAGCGCGCACGCCTGGGGCGGTGACGAGCAAGGCGGGGGTGCTGTCGCCCGCGCAGCAGCTTCAGATGAGCGCAGCGCGTGACGCGGCGATCGCGCGCTACCGGGAGCTCAAGGCTGCACGGCGCGTGGCGGGAGGGGGCGATGGTGGGGAGCGTGGGGGCGGCGCGGTTGGGGAGGGGGAGGAGGACTAGGGATGGAGTTGGGGTAGAGGGCTCAATGGTGTGCGCAGATGTCTCAAGGTGTGCGCACCGAGCCTGAAACGCTTACGGGATACCATATGGAATAGCCACTCTCGAGTCGCGGCGAGTGGGCATACATGGGATGTACGAGCGGCTGCACATATGTATGTGCTTTCACGATCCTGGAATAATTCTTATTCTGTTTGAACTCCCGCATCTTGTGTATCAGTCCTCAAACCCCTGAAAATCGTTCGAATTGAAGTGATCTGTTGTTCTTTTATTTGAATCTAGGCAAAGATTCTTATTCCGACATGGACTTTGCCTATGGGCCACAATAACCAGTTCTTGTTTTTGTTTGGATCCGCTACAACGTTCGGAGAGTTCCGAGATTTTCGGAAACGGGCCCCTTTTTAAGTGACTCAGGGTTAACTCAGGGATTCAAAACTCTCTCCTTCGCTAACGGTATCCTGAACATGAAGAAATCTATCCAAGGTGATCCAGAAGATTCAGCGCTGCCCTTCTCGCGCCTTGCATCCGGTCAACAACCATCCGAGAAGATCCGTCAACTAAGTAAGTGAAGCATCCTGCTTGCATTGATATTCCTAATGTACCTGCGCAGGTAATCCTGTTACCATTGAGTGTCTACGGACTCTACGCATAGAGCACTGGCGTCAGCATTCAAGAGGCCACCCGCCGCAGTTGGATATGTTTCCTGAGATGCATATTGACATCGTACTCGAGGTATGGTGCACGCCTCAGATCCTGGCCACATTTAATCACGCTGTTCAGGTCCTGGGCCACCTCCATCCGCTCGACCTGATTCACCTCTCTCGTTCCAATCAAGAGTTCTGCGCGCTTCTCCGGGCCCCCGTCACAACCACGATATGGCGCGAGTCCTTCGTTGCGCCGCTTCCTATTTGTCCCAACAGCATCCCCGGGCGAAGGTGGGCCCATTTGATATTCGGTGCGCCCCTCTGCGAAGTACGTCTCTTGGAATATCCGTACCATCCTCACTGAATACGGCTTCACGCTCAAGGGATGCGGCGCTCCGGGCACCTCGTCTGACTGTTACATTCACCGCCGACTCTGCTCTGAATGCATAAGCCCCAGGTTTTTCATTTCACACTCCCTCTGCTGTCCGCATTTAGCTGAGACATCAGAATCAGCACTACCCTTCCCGGATACCCCTTATCGCATGTAATCTATACGCTCATCGGGAGAACGGGGTGGAAGATATATCTTCCAGATGCGTTGCCTGTGACCGAGGAGTATGAACGCCTTCTGGCCGATGACGGTCCCACGGCGGCAGTGACATTGGCGAATTTCATGGAAAAACGGAAACAAGTATTGCAGCAAAACAAGAACGTGAGCAGAAGAAAAAACGCGAGGTGATGCTGAGGAATCATTGATATCTAGGCATTTATGGAATATAACGAGTGGCTGATAGAGGTATGTCAACGGAGGAGCACTTACGCTGTGGAAAGCCAGAAGAAGGTACTGCCGATGTAAGAGTCTTGATTTTTTCCAGATAATTGTTCACCTGCTCGCAATGGGATAGGGTCCGCAAGCGGCTGCTCGAAGAAGGATGCGATCCACGGGATATCAAGACATATATCGAGGAGCATCGATTTGACGACTGCTTCACTGTCCTGGAGGGAATCCCACGGCTTTCCTCCAAACGTGAGCACACATTATCGCCCGTTCGCATCGCCCGTTCGCATCGCCCGTTCGCATCGCTCACCCAATCCCACATAGGCTGCAACAAGGTCCGCCCCGGCATTGTGGCCCGTGTGAACTTCTGGCGGATTTATCGCCTGAAGAGAGAACGTTCTGAGCGCAAGCACGTCGTAAGGACCGGCATCATTCTTGCCATAGAAAAGAACTGTGCCCCCTCTACCTGGGCATACACACCAGCGTTGGACAATATCATAGGCTGGCCGCAGTTTGCGGAACTCGTCGACTCCACAATGAATGTCTCTCTTGCGGACGACGATTCGTGTCTACTCGCCGCCCTGGAACGGTTACCCGCGGACCTGGACGCGTGGACTCTCACCCAGCAGACGCACCTCGCATTACAGATCCCCGGCGCCCGTCGGCTACCGGATCTGCGTACGCTCGATCTCGCCACCACCGTGTTCGCCCATGGTGATACCCGCTGCCTCGTCGGCTGGCTAGATGCTGGTCTGCGTCTTGCGTCAGATCCGATTACACCGCCGAGCTTTTGTGCGACCTCGAGCGCCGTCGCCCGCGCGCTCGTACTCCTAGTTGACCTTGGTCCCGGCACTGCAACGGCCGCAGATATGGATGAGCAGAACGAACGTTTTTGTGCAGTGTGTGTCCTGCGACTCGCCGCGGGCGAGAGGCAATGTCCTGGCGCACATGTGTACGTGTGTTCAACCAGACGTCCGGCCGACTGATAACGTATATATCCTGCAATAGCTGCAGCATGCCATGGAACACCCAGCTGATCCACCCATGCCCACATCTTGGGCGAGGCTGTCTCCAGAGGGCGCAGCTGACGTTCGACGGCGCGAGGGTGCCGATCGCTCCTCCACGGAGAATGTGTGGATCTGCAACATGTGCCCAGTGCACTTCGACCTATATCGGCCCATATGGCGCGCAGAGGCGATTTCCCATGTAGCTTCCGAGTACGTCCGCATTTGCTGTTTGGATGCATAGCAGCAACTCCACTCACCCTGTGCAACAGGCACGCGGTCCTGCGCCCCGTCGAAAACGTCCATTTCATTTATGATCTACGGAAGCCGCGGTCTCTGCGTCATCCCCCGGTGTTTCTGTCGGAGGCCCCGGATGCGCTGGAATACCGCTGCAATTACTGTGCGGAGGAGGCACCGGAAATCGTGAAGTTGCTTGCGCTATATTCTGTTGCACGACACGTTAAAGCCAAGTGAATATTAGCCTTTCCCTGCGGAATTGATTGCTCATATCACGCCGTTCCAGACATAATGCGAATGCCACGGAAACTTACTGGAGAAGAGTTGAGCGGGTGCTGAGATGAGCGAGATATTGAAATGTTTATAGGTTCTATTATTCTGCTCATCAAACGCGCCTTTGTGTGTGTTTCTGTCGAATTGAACGAGTTGGTCTGAATCTTCATTTCGCGTCAGCCTACTTATTTGCCGAGCTCCCCGGCCGCCTGCTACGAACCTATGGTTCCCCGCTGAACATACTGTCGGCGCTTCGATACTCCTCCAGGAAAAGAAACGATACCAGAAAAAGATCATTGATAAAAAGAAACCATCCACCAGCAACATGGCTCCGGCCTGATTCGAACAGGCGTCTTCCACAAGATTAACATAGCATGTTCCATCCACCAAGTGCAGACGCGGACCATCCGCCACGGAGCCATACCATGTGCAATACCCAAGTAATTACATTCTAGTGGCTGATATTCTTCTTGCCAAAACAACCACCCGAGACAGTCCACCTGCGATTGTGGCTCCGTCCTATGAATTCGATTGTTCGACAGGATGTTGCAGAAACTGCCTGTTCGATTCGGGCCGGAGCCTTGACTCGATGGGCGACGCATGCTTTTTTTCTAGGGAAGCTGTCTCAGTTTTGCAGCCGGTAATTGCCTTTCAATATATCTGCTAAGGGTAGACCTGGTGTGACTGCGTAGTGGATGGTCCGCCTCTGTGCCCATTCCATATTCACAGGATGTTGCAAGCGCCTGTTCAAATCAGGCCAGAGCCTTGATAGTAGGAGATATTTTTTCACGGCATGGCAGAGATTTATTGTTGATACCCAACACTGCATGTGTAGTGGTACCGCTTAATCATTGAATTCAACATACGTTGCAGAAGGTGTCTGTTCGAATCAGGCCGGAACCCTGGCAAAATTCGTTAAAATGAATTTTTTGATTGCCTAGCGGATTTATTAGCCCAACATCGTACAGTATGTCGACTGGTACCAGTTCACCCTGATACGACTCCGTAGCGGATGTTCCGCGTGTGCAGTTCACAACGATGAATTTTGCAGAAGCTGCCTGTTCGAATCAGGGTGGAACCTTGCGAAGGACTCCTTGCAATTTTTTAAAGCGCACTAACCACCTTCGCAAGTAGGGGGCAAGCCATTCATGATATGGCTCCGTGTCTCGTGTCCCGCATCTGCATATCATGGATATAAAGTAACAATTCCAGAGAGGATGTTTTGTTCGCGATGCTGAAGGTTGCTTATTAGGAAGCAACGCATTCACGGGCTTTTTAGCAGAGACAATGTCAATCAAGACCTGTTCAGAATGCCAGTGTCTTCATTATTAGAAGGTAAGGTAAGTTCTTAGGTATATCCTTCTCGTCAAAACGTCAGACTCTATTGATTTGACCCCGTCCTATAGTACTATGTAGTCGTGGAAAAGAAGCAAACTGTTGTATTCTCACATTATAGGCAAGTAAGAATGACGCTAAAACAATTCCTCCAAGGTTGGTGCGAAAAGAAGACTGATTTATTCAATTCGACAGACAAGAGATCCAGATCTAGAAGCATGGCGAACGTGTTTAATGAACAGAATCTATTATATAGTATTGCCATTTCGACCTCTCGCTCACGTTAGCACCCGCTCAACTCTTCGCCAGTGGTCTTCCGTGGGACCCACATTATGCCTGAAAGCGAGTGAGCTTTCTGGTGCAGAGAGAAAGGAAGAGCAATATTCACCTATTCTTGACGTGTGCTACCATGGACCGCAGCGAAAGCAGCGTTACGAGTCCGGGTGATTTCTCCGCACAGTGGTTGCAGCGGTACTCTGCCGGATGCGCAGGGCCAAACATAAACACCGGGGGATGACGCAGGGTTCGATCCGTGCGCCGTAAATCATACAGGAAGTGAACACCCTCGACGGGGCGCGGGACGGCGTGCCTATTGAGCAGATGAGTGGAATTGCGGGTATGGATGCAAACAGAAAACTAGGATGGACGCACTCGGAAGCGACATGGGAAATCGCCTCTGCGCGCACTACGCGCTTGTGGTAGTCGAAGTGCGCCGGGCACATGTTGCAGATCCACGCGTCATCCGTGCACGACCGATCGGCACCCTCGCGCCGTCGAATGTCAGCCGCTCCCTCTGGAGATAGCCTGGCCCAAGATGTAGCCACGGGCGGATCGGATGGGTGTCCCATGGCGTGCAGCAGCTGCGGCAAGGGATATACGTGATCAGCTATGGAATGGATGTTCGGAGCACGCACACATGTGCGCCAGGACATGGCCTCTGGCCCGCGGGGAGTGACAGGGCACACTCTGCACAAAAATCGGTCGTCCATATCATCCATAGTTGTCGCCGTTGTTGTACCGGGATCAAGGTCAACAAATAGAACAAGCGTCCGCGCGGCGGCGCTGAATGTCGCAGAAAAGGGCAGCGAGTTCGACGTCAGATACGGACCAGCATCTAGCCAGCCGATGAGACAGTCGTCATATCCGAACGCACTGGTGGCCAGCTCGAGCGTGCGTAGATCCGGTGGCTGGCCAGCGCCAGGAATCTTCGATGCGAGGTGCATCTGCTGGGTGATGCGCCACACCTCTAGGTCTGCGGGAAGCCGCTCCAAGGCGGCGACGAGGCGCGAATCGTCGACCGCAAGAGTGGCATTAATTGTGGAATCAATGAGTTCCGCAAACTGCACCCACTCCACAATGTTGTCCACCGTTGGTGAGTACGCCCAGGTAGAGGGGGGAAACTTCGCTTTCATGATCGCAATGATGCCGCTCCGCACGACCCCTCTACGCCCGGAGCGTTCGTTCCATAGGCGACTGATTTTTGAGGAGTTAACAGACGCGAAAATTTCCGGGCGGGCCTTGTTCCAGCCTACATAGGTTAGGAACGCCAACGATCGACAATGACTGCTCACGCTTGGAGGAAAGACGTGGGATTCCATTGAGGGTTAGGCTTTTAAATGGACGCCGAGTAATATCCTGTAGATCCTGTCCATCTTCCAGCAGCCGCTTGGTCACCTTATCCGATAACGATTAGAGTAGGAACTATATCAAAGTTAAAACTCTTACACCGCCAACACCTTCTTGAGGTTTTCTGCATTGTGATCTTTAGCCTGTTGAAGTATCCGTGCCACCCATTGCTCGCAGTCCCTGGATGCCTAGATATCCTGGTAGTCAGCCTGTTAATTAACTCGATAATTTTTACTGAGCACCTTCTCGATTTCCTGCACTATTTGTTTCCTTTTTTTCACGAAATTCGCCAGTGCAAGAGCGGCCCCAGGACCGTCATCCGCCAGGAGGTTTTCATACTGCCCGACTACAGGCAGCGAATCTGGCTCATATATTTGCCGAGATCGCCTCTCTCTGAGGGTTTTCGCGAGGAGCTTATAAACGTCATGCGAACAAGAAGGGATCCCGGGGACGCGATGGTATCCGGAGATACTACTCCTGAGTCTGGGCTGTATTAGCCAAATGCGGAGGGCAGAAGGTAAAACAGCACACCTATTCCGTATGCATCCAGAGCAGAGTCGCCGACGGATTATATAGTCCGGTGATGTTTCCGGGGCGCCACATTTCTTGCATGAGAAGCCATATTAACTGAGGATGGATGGATATACGAGTATGAACACGCACCTCGCAGCGGAGCGGGTCGAATATCAAATGCGCCCACCTTCGGCCGGGAATGTCGCTGGGACAAACGGGAAGCGGCGCAACGAAGGACTCGCGCCATATTGTGGCTGTGACGGGCGCACGGAGAAGCGCGCGGAACTCGTGGTTTGAACGCGAGACGTGGATCAAGTCGAGTGGGTGGAGGTGGCCGAGGACCTGGATAGGGCGATAAGATATTCCCGGGATCGGAGACGTACACCATACCTCGAGCACTATGTCGATATGCATCTCAGGGAACATATCCAGCTTCGGCGGGTGGCTTCTTGAACGCTGACGCCAGTTCTCTATGCGTAGAGTCCGTAGACACTCAATGGTAACAGGGTTACCTGCGGAGATTAGGAATATTAACGCAAGCAGGATGTTTCTCACTTGGAGCGCGGATCTTCTCAGATGGTTGAGGTGTGGACGCAAGGCGCGGGAAGGGCAGTGCTGAATCGTCGCCATAAACTTGGATAGGTTTCTGCATGTTCGTGATTTTGCTGGACCAAGTCCAGAATCGAGGAAGAGTCAAGCTTTTGAGTTGTGAGTCAATCCTGAGTCATAGAAAGGGGCTCGCAATTTCAAAAAATCTCGGAATTCTCCGAACGTTGCGGCGGATCGAATTTGCTCAAAAACTAAGGTGGCCGTGCTGGTCGCATTGTTGCCCATCGTAGGCAGAGTCAAGGCCAGGTTATCGAGTATGTGAACGCCGGCCTGGAATTCAAATCAACCACCCCCTCAATTTGCTATCCGCGCGGCGGACACGTAGGGTTTCAGACTCGGTGCTCGGTGGCGGCTTTTTCGCGCTGCCGCGGCGTAATATACCCCCCCCCCCCTCCCCATGCCGGGCGATCCTCCGCCGAGGGAACTAAACGGCGCATCTCCGTCTCATATCATCTACACACAAAAATCCGCACCGATTGTTTTATCTTCGAATATTCAATCAGCAATATCCAAAAATGCACACGATCAAAACAGATATAGGAAGCAGAAGTAGAAAAGAAAATAGTAGTCGCAAAACGCACTTATTAAAAATGCACAAGTCACTCTGAGGCGTCTGGGGGTATCTCAGGGCCTCTGTACCCTTCAGTTTCCACTCTTCATCCTCGGTTCATCATCATCAACTTCCTCGCATTACGTAGCCACGCAGCTGGCGCTTCGGGCGGAGATCTGGGCGCACCAAGGATTTGGGCAACCAAGTCTGGAATCTGCCAACTTGAGGGCGAGGCCGGGGCGCGCGCGAGACAGAATCAACGCAGAAGGAAGCCCTTTTCGAGAGTTCCTCGCGGATGGAGCGTTTTGCGCGTTGGATGTGGGTGAGTGGGTGTATGAAGGTGGTTCCAGGGTGAGTATCGACGAGAAGAATGGGACTCGCGACGATTTCTTCTAGATAGACTCTTCCAGGGTCGATGGTGTTCGGCTCGGCACCTCGGCACAATCAGCAATCTGTGGCCGGCAATCCGGCAACTAAAGCGCGTAGGCCTCTTCTTTCGCCTCCAACTCGCATCTTGGGGCTTTATCCATCTCAACGGATCCGATGCATCTAATGACTGGTGGCTCTGAAAACTCGGATGGAACCTCAGCATTCCTTTCCTTGGAAGTTGGGATGGAAGATAGTCTTCTTTGCCCTCGATGATATCATCGAATGCCATTCATTGGCGCACATGGCTTTGCGCAAACCGCCTACAGAGAGACCATTCGGAGGGCTCACCGAGGCACAGCTTGACCAGGTGTCACTAAATGTGGGATTCAGGAATTGAGTGGGGATCCGAGCTGGAGTGGCCATCCAATGTGCGATAATCATCGGCCGGTGACGAAGATGACTTCTACTGGATGATTTCTGCCGACCTTCGGCCCAGGGCCCTGCATCAACCTGACGCGTCAACTCTACATGCTATGCACAAAAAAGCCAACGGATCTGCCTTAAGTTTGATCATGCCATGACCGACTATCGCAAATACACCTCCAAGCTTGTTGACAAACACGTCCTCATCATCGGTAGCAGCTCCGGCATCGGCTACGGGGTCACTGAAGCTACGGCGCCCGCATCACTATTTCCTCATCCAACCCGCCGCGCCTCTCCGCCGCCGTCGCCAAGCTCTCTGAGTCCGCTGCCTACCCCTCCGCCACCTCCATTGCCAACCGCATCACCTCTGCCACCTGCGACCTCAGCACCGAAGCGACGCTCGAGGCCAGCACCACCGCATCTTTGACACGGTCGCGTCCGCCCATGCGTTCAACCATGTCGTCTACAGCGCGGCGACACGCTGGCCATCCTGCCCCTGTCCGACGTGACGGTGCCCAAGATCACGCAAGGCGGCATGGTGCGCTTCTACACATCGCTCATCGGAGGCCGCAAAGCACCAGCCCAAGTCGCCCGACTTGTCGTTTACCATCACATCTGGCACCGTCGCCCAGTGCCCGGTGCCGGGCTGGACGGTGGTGGGCTCGTTCGCTGCAGGGCAGTTTAGCATGGCGCACGTGGTGGCGCTCGACCTCAAGCCGATTAGGGTCAATTGCGTGGCCCTCGGCGTGGTGGATACGGAGCTGTGAGACACCCTGCCGGCGGAGCAAAAGTAAGGCATGAAGAGAGTTTGAGAAGAACATGCCGACGAGGAGGATGGGCTGGGTGGAGGATGTGGCAGAAGTGTTTCTGTATCTGCTCACACCGGGGGCAAAAAGCCACGCATCTGGCACACACATGCTTAACACGCATGTGGACTGCATGCTGGTGTGACCTGTCACAAAGGGGCTAATCACCTTTGTGGCATCTTTGTTTTTTGGGGGCAACTGAAAGAAAAAGCAAAGAAGCCACAAAGGTGATTAGCCCCTTTGTGACAGGTCACATCAGCATGCAGTCCACATGCGTGGCTTTTTGCCCCCGGTGTCAAGGATGCGAATGTTACGAGAAGTGTGATTGGGCTTTGTGGGTTTGAGGGAGTGGGGTGTAGATTTCTGTATGTCTACGTCTTGCGTTAATTCCTGCTTCAAAAAAAAGAGTTTCTGTGGAATGAGTGAGGGCTTCCTAATGGAGTGCAGACGCGGACCATCCACCAGAGCCATATCAGGGTGAATTAGCCCCAGTATACATGCTGTACTCGGGGTATCAAAAATAAATCCGTAGCAGGCAAAAAAATCGTTGACGACCGGCCCAAAGGCTCCGGCCTGATTCGAACAGGCAGCTTCTGCGAAATTTCTTGCAACTGTAACATTATGAGGTGCAGACGCGGACCACCCGCCACGGAGCCATATTAGGTTGAATTGGCACTGATACATATGCTGTACTTACCCGGGTCTGCGCTGGTGAGTATCAAAAAAAAATCTGTACTAGGCAAAAAACATAGTTGCCGACACGCGCCCCAAGACTCCGGCCTGAATCGAACAGGTAAATTCTATTTTACTACCTAATCTACCTGTTGGAAGCTGGTTGGCAGTGTGCCCAAAAAATTCGCGTGCTAAAAATGCCTTTCCTAAATGAAGCCACGGCTCCGACCTGATTCGAACAGGCCTAGGCAGCTTCTGCATTACAATCTACAAAACAATCCCGAAATGAGCGCAGACGCGGTCCACCCGCCACGGAGCCATATCAGGGTGAATTAGCCCCAGTAAACATGGTGTACTTACGCTGGTGGGTGTAAAAAATAAATCTCTGCTATGCCCTCAAAAAGGCTTTCTCCGGCCTGATTACTTTCTGCAACACACAGCATCGAAAGTCAGAACTAAGTGTAGGACCACCCGCCAAGGAGCCATATCAGTGTGAATTGGCACCAGTACACATGCTGTACTTGCGCCGGGGCGTACCAACAATAGATCTGTAGCACGCAAAAAAAAAAAGTTCCCGACACGCATCGCAAGGCTCTGGCCTGATTCGAACAGGCAGCTTCTGCGGAATTTCTTGTGACATAAATAATTATGAGATGCAGACGCGGTCCACCGCCACGGAGGCACATCAGGGTCAATCGCGCCCCACACATGCTGCACTTGCGCGGCACGCACGAAATAAAAACATGTTGCAGGTGGCCAGAAGAAAAAAACAACGCACCTTGGACTATAAGGCTCCGGCCTGATTCGAACAGGCATCTTCTGCACAATGTCCATTATTGTATATATATACACGAGATGCAGACGCGGACCACCCGCCACGGAGCCATATCAAGGTCAATCACGCCCCCACACATGTACTTGCGAAATAAAAGCATGTTGCAGGTGGCCAGAAGAAAAAAAGATGCTTTTCTCCAATGGCTCCGGCCCGAATCGAACAGGCGTCTTCTGCACACCCATCGTGGCTTATCTTGTGTATGAACTGCAGACACGGACCATCCGCTACGGAGCCTTAGCATACTGGATCGACGTACTGGTGTGAGCGGGTGGCTGGGGTCAATGAAGGGGCCGACGTGAGCGTGACGATGTTGGGCAGGAACTGCGCCAGGGGCGTGAGCACAGAGGTCTGCGAGCCGTCCCAGAGGAGGGAAGATATAGTGAGTACAAGTGGATATAAACATATGGGGGTAATACTGTCTCATAATTATACCAGTTTTGAGCAAAAAAACACACCGCTGCTCAGAAAAACACACAGGTACCCCCACCCCAAAAACCACACCACCTTTGTGGAAATCCAAATATACACAGGTCTACGTTTCTCACAAAAAGACACACACCCCGTGGCGCATATTTAAATACACCGGTGCACCTCACTCCTGTTTTTCAACACACCTTCTTTGGAGACTCAAATAATTCACCACCTTCCTGTCGAGACAAAAGAAATACTGCCTACCTTGCAGCCAAAAATGCATCACTGGTCATCTGTGTACCAATTCAACATGCACATCCTAGAGGATATACTGATGCTGCAGCCACCATCTTTCTTGGAACATGCGCTCCATGGAGCACTCACCAAGCTATTGACTAATATAGGCGTGCATTGAGGTTCAGTGAAGCTCTTGTGGTGGTCTTAAAAGTATCTCATCGTGGATCCCTACCGGCTCTCTGCCTTTTCTATTGCTACAGCACCAGCTATTTGAGATTCATATCTGAGACTGGACCCGATGTCTCCTGGTTAATCACAACTTGTTACATTCATTATCATGCTCAAGTCTGAATGAGATCCACCTATTTATTCTGAAAATCCAGTTCAACTATTCTTTTGCATGTCTGAATGACTGATGTTGAATAATTTCAATTGTATCTTCACTTCAACTTGAAACTTTGATGGCAAAGTTTCAACACTATCAGTCCACTTAATATATATTCTAATATAACGGCGAATCTGACGGACTACTATTACAGAGACTACATAGTTGAGCGCCACCCGCTCAATGTTCAAATTCATGGTGACATGAACTGGGTGCACTTCAATTTCTTTGGCTGTATTCCATTCATCTTTGTATCAGATCCTCGCAATTCAAGATGTTTTGCATGCAACTTGAGTCTATTGCATTCCCTCTCGGCCCTGAACTTGGGGACCTAGAGGTATTTCGTTAGGTAATTACACTGCTTAGTTCAACACTCCCTGATTTCTTCGTAGATGCCTCCACTACTCGAAGCCTGAAACTGAAACTGTTGAGTTGTGTGTTTCAATCAGAAAACTCACCAAGTACATCCAGTATTTTCGCCATAAATCCAACTTGAGTTCAAGGGAATTTGTGTGAAGTGTCGCGCAACGGCCAATTTCATCCTTCGCATGGTTTGAATTGTCTTAGTCCCCGCATTCAGAGGTGAAATTTAAATCAGATTATACAGAACAATACATCAGCCATTTTACATTTACCTTGTGACCTTTTGATGTTTGTGGGCTTGGCAACAAGCTCTTGACAAGCTCGCAAGGTCAAACAAGGTCAAAAATACTAAAGTCCCGCCCACTCTGCAGTGGTGAACCCACCCTATTATTAAAATGTATCATCCCCACAGCTGTCAACACCTCCCTGCAGCTGAAGGTGCCCCTCAGAATGCCCTGAGCTCACTAAAGAGTATGGCGGTCAAAATGCACATTTATTCGGCCGCAACTTTTTTTTCCAAATTTGAACCTGCCGCAACTTTTTTGTCCTTTTGATGCCCATGCCGCAACTTCTACGTCCTTTCGGGAATGACAAAAATAGTTGCGGCAGGTTGTGTTCTGCCGCAACTTTTTTTTTTCAGGTGTAGCAACTTTTTTCTATCTGAATGGTTGAAATAATATTAGCAATATTCCAGAAGCTCACACTCCAGCATGGAGCCATTGGCACGCTGGAACAGACCGGAGCTAATCCCAATAAGGCAATAAGTTTAGTAATCTCACCCCCTTTGCTTCCTCCATCCACGCTTGTTCCCCGTGCCAATTCTACTAATGTGATAGGTCTCTTCGGTGTACACTTTTGGCTCGCCCACTACTGCTTATGTGATGCTATACAAGCTATATGGGACTCTTCTGGTGCAATCTAGTACTCACTGTATCTAACAACCAAATCCATGGCGGGTCTTCTACCATTCTGGCCACGCTATTGCTCTCATTGATATACTATCTTCCTGCTGCCATTTAGATCAATCAGCTTGGAGCCTCCGAGAACATGTCATCGGGGATGCCGAGAGTGTTTATGGCATCAATCAGCTGCCACACAAAAGTGAGTGTACCTCGTTCAAATCCCGTCGGATTTCATCGAGGTAAGGGGTGTACAGCTGTATTAGAATCCCTACAAGAGGATAGCCAAGTATTTTCGCGCCCCAGACCCCGAACACGTCATAGGGCACGCCGAGAGTGCTTATGGTACCAGTCAGGCCTCACACAAAAGTGAGTGTATTTCACTCAAATCCGACCGGATTTCCTTCAGCTAACAGATTTACAGTGGTGTTTTTATCCCCCCTCAAGGCTGGAGAGGTCATCTGGTACCTCCTAGCTCAAATGTGTCGTCGGGGACCCCAAGAGTACTTATGTCTCCTATGTCACCAATAGAGAGTGTATCTGTATCTCGCTCAAATCAGCTCGTATTTCTTTGTGCTAAGGGGTTAGGCAGTGAGCCAAAAGTGTACAGGAAGGGGCCTATCACATGAGTGGAATTTAGATTGAGCGGGAGGAAGCGACAAGGAAGCGATAAGAAGTTGGTAGGATTACTAAGCCCTCACTTATTGCCTTATTGGGATCAGCTCCGGTCTGTTCTAACGCTCCAACGGCTCCATGTTGGATTGCGAGCTTTTGGATAATGGATAATTTTATCTCAACTAGTTGAATGAAAAAAAGTTGTTACACACAAGAAAAAAAAGTTGCGGCACTGGCAAAAAAAAGTTGCGGCAGAGCTCGAGTTGCCGCAACTATTTTTGGAATTCCCGAAAGGCCCTAAAAGTTGCGGCATGGGCATCAAAAGGACAAAAAAGTTGCGGCAGGTTCAAATTTGGAAAAAAAAGTTGCGGCCGAATAAATGTGCATTTTGACCGCCATAAAAGAGTACTTACTTTTAGACAGAATTTCGAGCTTGTGAAAATCCGGACTTGTCTTGTGACCTTGAGACCTTGTGGGCGTTTTGGTGGAGCTTGTGACCTTGTTTGACCTTGTACAAGGTCACAAGCTCAATCTCAAAAGTCTGATGTAGCTCGGGTGTTGAGGGACAATTGGGAAGAAAAAACGGTTTCGAGGGTGTAAGTTTAATTTTGTTCCTATTAGGGTGGTGAAATTTATTAATTTTGGACGTGTGCACTTTTCTCAATTGTTACAGGCAGTGTGTTTTTTTTTGATTTGGGAGGACCAGGGTATTTAAATGTTGCAGCGGCGTGGCTGAGTACAAAAGCATGGACTTTGGCGGAGTGGTGCGAATTTTCGTCAAGACATGGTAAGGTGGGTAAGAATAGGTGAAAATATGGTCAGCGGTGCACCAAGTAATTATGAGACACTATTACAGCCATATAAACAGTATCCGGCATGTCGTATCGTACGCGGAGAGTGAAAAAAAACATCTGCAAAATCAAATCCATCATATATTCTCTCCATGAACCGGCTTCCCCCAGGCATCGTTGTTTTTCGCCTCCGCCTCCGCCTCCGCCTCCGCTTCCCGCCGGCCTCGCATGAACCGCACGCACGATGTGGTGGTAAGAATGGTTTCATCAAACATCATTGATCGTGTTTGCGTTTGTGATTTGATTGAGCTGTCTCCATCTCGTCCATCATACTTTTTGACAGCTGACCTTGTGGCCTTGTACAAGGCCAAACAAGGCCGAACAAGGTTGAAAAAGGTCGCAAGCTCACAAGGCCGCAAACCAAGTTTGAATTTCGACAAGCTCTAAAAAAATACAAAATCTTTTTTTTTCAAGGGGTGTCCTGGTCATGTCTCACACTTTTATTCAGGGTCAAGGGGGTCCAACGATAAGGATAGCCGACACGGGGTGCGGGGGTGGGGTCTGCCTTGGGTCTGCCAACCCTCTGAAAAAAAAAATTGTATGCAACTTTTTTTTTTTTTCATTCTAGAGGGCCAGCCTGGGTGGCCAGTGGTCTGTGACAACAAGGACCACTCATAGTGACCAGAACTATGCTCGATATGGCCACAAGAAGCTCACTGGGTCCAATGCAGACATATTCATGCAGATCAGCGGAGACAAAACATGGGCACAAATTTTTTTTCGCTGCAGTATTGAGTAGTTAACCCTTAAAAGAACTCAGGGACATGGTACTATTGAATTCTGTAGGTCATGGTCCCCAGAGTGCTCTACGGTCGTACAGGTACACCATCGAACTATTAATAGCTGATGTCTCCGGTTATCTCCGGTTTCTTCCAGAGGAAATGTCTATCCTAACCTGGATGCCTTAACAATCCATATACATACTCCCTGAATGATTTCAAAGCTCCCCGTGCATGCTAGCATGCACGGCGCAGCGAGCTGCGAAATTTTGAGGCAAGGCGGTCTCCCGAAAAGGCAATTTGATGGCACGTGTTTGCGTACGTAGGGAGGGTCCTCCGACCCTCTGAAAAAATAAAATTCGACGTGATATCATTTTTTCCAATCTTTGGATCCCCTTGTTCAGGGTCTTTTTTGGTTTTGAGATTGTGAGTTTGTCAAGGTCGAACAAGGCCCAAGGGATTTGTTAGATGGCTGATGTCCTTACTTCTCTCACAGCGTTAAGCTATACTTCGGCGCAATTAAGGACTCCCTCTGATCAAATTCACCCAACTCTAGAGCTTTATGGAGTCATTTCTCGACGCTTCTAGAAACAGGGGCAAACTCTCGGTGGCTGACAGCAACGTCTCAGCTTGCGTTTAAAATCGGAGGAGGCTGCCCCCTGAGACGTACCGCTCGTTCTTTTGAACCACCACCACCCCCTACCACATGTTTTCGTATTCGTAGATCTCTATACACCGACCGCCTCACTCCGTA